TGTTTTTCGTGATATGGGATTGGAAATTTAGTAGCTGTAGATAGAATCATGAATGCTGGATAACTATATTGACATTTTAAATGAAAACTTAGAAGAATCAATTCTAAAAATGGATCTCGATAAGGAATGGATGTTTCAGCAAGACAATGATCCGAAACGCACAGCAAAGAAAACGAAACAATTTTTCCAGAATTGTAAAATAGAAGTTCTTGAATGGCCTCCACAAAGTCCGGACCTTATCCCAATCGAAAATTTATGGAGTTTACCGGATGCAGAGATTCCATTAGAAAAACGCAATAATAAAGAAGAGTTTTTAAATGAATGGCAACTAAAATTTCAAAGAATTGATAAACTAATTATCTTGTATAAAACTTGTTGAAAGTATGCCACGACGTTTACAAGCAGTAATAAAAGCAAAAGGCTACAATACAAAGTATTAATACTTACTTTCTATAAAGTGTCCACTTAATTTTGACCATGTGCAGTTTTATGTTATTATCATTAATCAATAAAAATTCTAATATATTATTTGTTACAATTGGTTTTTCTTTATATTTTGTCAAATTATACTCCGTTAATTTAAATAAGCAATAAAGGTTTGATTTTTTGACATTATTAGTTAAATTGAATTAACCTTTTGTTATTTATGATACCTGTCCACTTAATTTTATCTACGACTGTATCTGTCTGTAATAGCTGCTCTATCTCCACGTTGCCGTTGAAAGTAACACGGTCGATCGCTAAGCAGCAGCGACATTCGGCCGAACGACTCGTCTGCGCGGCTTTTTTCTCACTCGGCGATGCGATACGTTCACATAATTCCGCGCGATCGAGTCGGTATAACTTTATGATTACTTGAAGAGATCATTTTCCGTTGAGGTCGCAGATGATCCCGAGTGAGCGCGTTTGAACGACTTTGGCCTCCTCAAAACCGAGTCGTTCGGACCTAATTCCTAATTAACCGACCCGATTTCTAATTAACAGTTCACGTTACTTATTAATCCTTATTAACAGTTACGTTTCGATATGTTCAGTTTCGAACAGATACGTTTGGTGCGTCTTATCTGCGAGGCAGATGGAGCAAGTCGATCGAGTTGACGAAATGAAAGATAAGCCAAAGTTAAGTCTCGAAGAACTCAATAGCGAAGCAGCCGCGAACTATGCCGTGAACCGAGACGCGAGATAATTTCAATAAATAATCCGCGTCCAAGAGACGTAATACGTGCTCCATAATGCATTCCCGAATTAAAAATAGATACCGTCATTGCGACCAAGTGTTCCATCGTGCGGCTGCCGCTCCGATCGGAAAAATCGACGCATCGCCGCGCGATCCCGATTTTTCCAATTTCCCGAAAGCCGCTCGCGCCGCTTACGTAGTGCTCTCCTTCGAGTTAAACGCAGATTCTCCTCACCCTTCAGCGGCGAAATTGCACTGTCACAAATGCGCGAAAGGCTCTCGGAGACGATCATTCTCGGTCTTGTTGCAAATCTTGGAAATTTCCATCACGCAAACGTTTGCAGGGTAAACTCGGGTGAAATAAGTAAAATTCATCCATGATGTTCGCAATATTGTACTGTAAATATCGATTACCTCTGAGAATTACCTGAAAACACGCACTATTTGGGAAACATCGCAAATTGCAGCTTAAGGTAAACCTACCGAATTACGCCAGGTTAAGCAAAGACTAATTTTTAAGAGTTTATTTTTAAAAAAGTAAAGTGATGTTAGAGACAAGACTATGAATCTTATTAAAAGTTATTATTAATTTGCAAATTAGCGAAATACACACATACAAATTAGAAATAAACAAGATTATTTATTTATATAAAAAAATTAAGTGCGAATTGCAAATGCCGCGAATTACGTCCACTGAAATTGTAGGTCTCAATTTAGGCCACTGATTATGTACTAAATGACGCCATTTTGTTATATTTTATAAAAACCGTATAACTTTATAATACTATACTCTTTTATCATCTTTTATTATATTTTAATCGCATAAAACTAAAACATTTTATATCACTACTACCCAAAAATATCTCATTTTATCATATTATGAGGTACAATGTCACTTCATAGGTTAATAATCATTTAGAAGCAAATTCAGTCGAAAATAGTCAAAAGTGACAGATCTTTCATATAGGCTTTTCTGAAATTGGTTTTCATGGAAAATTACATTATATTTTCATATACTTACTTTAGCGGAGCCATTTTACACTATCACGACACCTTTCCGGCAATTTTTAGACACTTTTATTCAACTTTTATTACACGTTTTATTACACGCATAGAATAAGCTAAGGTGACGTAATTCGAGTCAGTGGCGTAATATGGTACGTTTATCTTAATTAATTTTTATTTTAATACAAAAGTATCAAATTGGGTGTATCTTTTTCCAATACAAATATTGGAATTTTTGATAAATATTTACAATAACGGACCATGCTTCATATATTGACATATATTATAGAAGTAACCCACCTGAGTAATAATTAAAAGGTTTTAGTCGTCGCTCATTGTTTATTAAAAAAGTTATAAATAAATGAAATTTTATAGATTATAGAGCCCATTTTCTTTTGACACAATGTACATTAAACAATGTTAATCAGTACGTATAAGCGGGAGAGGGGCTTTGCCCCTCCCCCGCACGCCGTTCCCAAACAAATCCTAGCCTAACCTAACTTATTGCATCTTCATATATTTTTGGACATTGTTGAAAAAGTCCTCTTAAGATCTATCACCTAGCCCAACTTAACTTATTATATCTGCATATAATTAAGTATTGTGAGTTTTAAGGAGATCTTTTCAACAACACCCAACAATATATAAGGATGCAATAAGTTAGGTTAGGTTAGGATTTTTTGAGGAGGGAGTGCGGGGCAGGGGCAAAGCCTCTCTCCCGCTTATATGTACTGTTTCCTATGTTTCTATGTATACACTATGTTTGGATTAACTATATAGAAGAGTGTTGTAATTGGTTCATTATTCCTTGCAAGTGTGTTTTATAGGTCTAATGTCAACAACAGCTTATTTCATTTCGGTAAGAAATGAATAAACAACTTATGTAAAAGCAACTTATCATACGATACGACGCGACGATAAGAACTATAATATCTATATATAGTGTCCGAAAATATTACATCATATTCATTAAACTTTCTTTCTTAATAAATTTTTAATAAACAATGAGCGACGGTTAAAACCTTTTGATTATTGACTCAGGAGGGTTATTTCTATATATCAATATGAAGATTGTAGGAGAGTGATCCGTTATTGTAAATATTTACCGAGTTTTTTTACAATAATTATTACTTTCATTCATTATCGTTAAAACAAATAGTATAAGTCATTAAGCATGAAATGTCCGATTTCGAATCAAAAGTTTGGTTTATTATATCTCAAACTAGAAATAGTAAAATTAATCAAAGTATGCGCCTAAAGTAATTCTGCCATCTTAACGGTAGCTCATTCATGCCAGCAGCGAAGAAGGCTGAAGAGCGAGTGACGATGAAATCGCGGAAGGCGTTTTCCACAGCCTGTCGAGAATTGAATATTTTTCCTTGCAAGAAGTAGCCCAGTACCTGGAAGAAGTGGTAGTCAGTTGGTGCAACGTCTGGTGAATATTACAGGTGATAGAGAGTTTCCAAGTCCAGCTGCTGCAGTTTGAACAATGTTGTTTATGCGACATGTGGTCGAGCGTTATCTTGCAAGAGGATTGGTCTGTCTCTATTGACCAATCTCGGCTGCTTAATCGCAAGCATCCTCATCATTTCGTCCAGTTGATTGCAGTAGACAACCGCTGTAATCGATTAACCAGGTTTCATGAAACTGTAGTGGACAATACCAGCGCTGGACCATCAAACAGACACCATTAGTTTTCTCTTGTGAATATTTAGTTTCGGATTGTGTTTTGGCACTTCATTTACATCCAACCATTGTGCCGAATTGCTTGCGATTGTCGAAAAGAATCAATTTTTCATCACACGTAATAATACGATGTAAAAATGGCTCGCCTTTATGTCGTGATAGTAAAGAAAGGCAAGCTTCGAGACGATTTCTCTTCTGAAGTTCGTTTACTTCACGCGGAACCCATCTATCCAACTTCTTTACCTTGCCGATTTGTTTCAAGTGATCCAATATCGTTGGAATAGTAACGTTAAATCTTGATGCTAATTCACGCGTAGTTTGAGAAGTATTCGCTTCCACTACAGCTTTCAGCTCATCATTATCCACCTTGGTCTCGGGTCGCCTACGTGGCTCATTTTCAAGATTAAAATCGCCAGAACGAAACTTTTCAAACCATCGACGTACTGTGCGTTCATTAGCCGCATCTTCACCAAACTTTGTTGATATTTCGAGTTGTCTGCGCTGCATTGGTTCCACGACGGAACTCATTAAAAAATAACACGAATTTCTTACTTATCCATGATTATACAAAGATTGTTGTAACAAAGACATTTCGAAAGATAATCACAAACCAAAACATGCGTTTGAAAGAGTGACGATGTATCCTCACAAGAAAGAAAGCCAAGAACTGTAAAGGTGAATGTTAGAGATATCGACTGTCTAACTTAGTACTTAAGGAAACCGGACATTTCACATTTAACGACCTAATAAATATTGTTTTCCAACAACAAAATATTATGGTCGGATATATTGGGATGTGTCCGGCGTGTCAGGACCTTTACCTTATTTGTAACGCGTACATTTACCGCGTCGCGTAAACGTACACGTGTCCGCCATTGTTATCGAGCAAGCGAGCGCGTCGATATTATCTTCCGCGCGGACTCGTCAATTTGATCGGATGAAGCGCGAAAAGATTTCCAGCGAGAGACCCGATATCAGCAGCGGCCTCGTTCGCCCCGACGAACGATCGCGCGCGTCGCGTCGCGTCGCGTCGCGGCGCATCGCCGGCACCGGCGCACGAGTGGAAGTACGCCGCCGGTGGTGGTCGCCGCTGCGTTGTTGTCGTCGTCGTCGTCATCGTCGACGACGACGACGACGACGACGACGTTTGCGCGAATCTCGTCAGTCGGCGACGGGTTGCCTGTTCGTAGCGTGGGTGGTGTACGCGCGCGCGTCGACGGGCGGGCTCGATTCGATTAAACTTCACCGCGCGACCCTCGTCGCATCGCCGCCGCTCACCGCGGGGTGAGACCTCGTGCCAAGCGGCTCGTTATGCCGTGCGCAACCCCTCGCGCGCGTCAGCGTTACGCCAGCGTCGAGGCGAGGCGAGGCGAGGCGAAAATCGGGACGCGCGAGCCGCGGCGCCTCCAGCACGTTGCCACCGGAGGAGCGAGCTGAATCGTCGGGCAGCCGCCTACTTTGCCTGTCGGCGGATTCCGCTGCGTCGAAGAGGTAACTGCTGAAGGGAGCCTGCTCCGCGAGCTCCGCTGGTAGCACGGTCGGGACGTGGTCGGGACGAGGCTAATCGTGACACGGTTTCGCGTAATCGCGTTGAGCTCGCGAGATCGCCGGCTGTGAATCGGAATTCAGTTCATGTCGCGCTTCGCAGTGTGTGTGTGTGTGTGTGTGTGTGTGAATCTCGCCGGCGTTCATCCTGGGTATCCTACGCAACCTGTGTGTACTCGCGTTCCCGCCTTTCACGCTGCCGACGGTCACGGGGATGTCGAGGATCCCGCTCGACGCTCACTCGACGCGGCTGAAAGCTCGAGTCGAAGGGTCCAATCGCAGCTTTCAAGCGTCTCAGCGAACTCGACGATCGGTCTCACGCTCCTCTTCTTGAATCGAGAGTGAAGCCGTACCTGCCGCGACCTGCACGCGTCGACGTCATCTGTCACCGCGCGACGTGATCGTTCTCTTCGGACCTGCTCGTCCACGTTTGCGAGAGAAGTGCTCGTTTGACCCTTTAACGCCCGACTTTTTTATAAGTGTTTTAAGAATAAAATTTGAGTTCTTTTGAACTGAGACTATAAGTAGTGATAACCAAAAATAATATCAGAATTTTAGATCTACGAAAGATCGACTGCCTTTCCAAGCAGAAACTACTCCCAGAAGCGAAAAATACGCCTGATCGATGAAATCTTTCTTCTCAGTTTTAATAATTTTATATCATACCTCATGGTTGGAAAAATTCCTCGAAACATAAAACTCATATTCAGAACTTGATCTTTATTTATCCGGAATGGAATATAATAAATGAGTACATAAAGTTTTCGCTTTTCGTTTGTTGGCTTCGTTAGTTTGGTTTTTTTTTATCGTTCGTTTTTTGTATATTGGTAAAATATGACTTGGATCTTAAAAGCATATACGAAATGAGCAACCTATACAGAGAAAAATAAAGGGTAATCTATACGACATAACTCAAGTCAGCTTGACATTTTTTAGCTGAAACTTTACTATATTTGTGAGTGAAGTTTATCATTCAGAGCGTCAAGCTTACTATTTTAGAAGAATATCTTATAGATCACCATTTAGATAGTCAATCGTCCCTTCATTTTTCGCCGCTTAAAAAAACTGTAGGTCACCAGGTTTCACGAATATAGATTGATTTCTTGATTTTCGTGTCCACCATATTGGATTTGCCATTTTGAATTTCTGTATTCTTTTAATTTCACATTTTGCATCTGAGAAAGCTTCCAAATGTATAACATTATTTACAGTGCACTTCTAGATGTCAATAACAATGCTAACTGTGCCTACTTGGAATTTGACAAAACATGTTATCATTAAAACTGAGCTAAAAACAAACTAAACCGAATCCACATACAATCTATATACCATTTTTTAGAAGAAGAATTCACCATTACAGTGCATTACAGTGCAGATGCAAAGGAAACGAAAATATCTCCTTTTTCGACTAAGTTATGGATTCTTAAATGCGTTTCTGCCAACTATAGTTACCGGTAGGTGTTAAAGGGTTAATTTCACGGCTAATCCGACGAAATGGCCCTTTCGCCCGCGCCCTAAGTCACGTCGTCTCACGTCCTTTGCATTCTATAGGCCAGCTCTGCGCGGCTCCGCACGCGATCTTCAATTACACACACCTACGCTCCCGACGGGAGAAATATTTGTTTTATCTGGTGTCTCCTCGTATCTAACCATACATATATGGCCTGCCGGCTGTCGTATCGGCAGGGTATCGTTTCCGTTCGAACCGCTTGAACCTTGGTATTATTACACCGCCAGCGGTACACACGTAACGGAAGTCACGTTGCAATCTAATTCGCGCGTCGGTCGATAAGTCGCCGAGCTATCGTGCTATTGTTTCGTATCGTTTCGCGGCTGTCGAATGATCCCAAGGCGCACGTTTCTCAAGATTCTCGTCCATCTCCGTTTCCTCACTTCGCGTCAGTCTCGATAAACATTCGCTCGGGAACATCGAGCGCACCTTTAACTCGTGCACCGGCTGACACATTCGTGTTACGTGACGATCCGCGCGTATCAATGAAACCGCTTCTAAGTCATGTTTTTTCTCGCGCACGGACGGACAGGCGCGAAGGAGACTCGCGATCGGTCTAATCTGCGTAAATAATCACGATAGATCATGACGCGAATCGTTGCTCCTTCGCGATAGAAAAAGAAACGCGACGGGAATAATTGACGTGTGTTTCTAGAAGAGAAGAGAGACGCGTCGCTGAAACATTACGGCTCTCTCTCTCTCTCTCTCTCTCTCTCTCTCTCTCTCTCTCTCTCTCTCTCTCTCTCGCTCTCTCTCTCTCTCGCTCTCTCTCTCTCTCTCTCTGTCTCTTTCTGCGTACTTCGGGAAACCGGAGATACGAGAATATATAAATAAATTTTCAAGAGAACAACTCGAAGGAGATTTCCTCGTCGTTATTATCTAAATGAAAAATACGTGTCTCTTGCGCAATGATAATTGGCACGCGTAGAATGACTTGACGTTAGTTTTATCTCCGATTATCCTGGAGGCGACATTGATATTTTTCCTCTTAACAAACGCTTACGAACGAATTTATAATAATTGAGGGAGCGTGAAGTAATCGACGGGGATTTCCTCATCGTCGTCGCTTAGCAAAGACAGAAATACACTTAGAGCGCGATGCTGGTCGACGCGTTGAAAAACAACCGAACGTCGTCGCTTTGATCCATCGTCGATCTCGCGAGCAGACGGAGCGCTAAATTTTAAACAATTTTCCGGACACTTTGCTTCTGTTTCGTCTCGCACGAGAGTCTTGTTACCAGCTCGTTTCATCGACGCTCTCCCTTTCTCCTCCTCCGCGATAATCATTACGTTATTACACCTTTACCGCGCCTCGTAATTTCGGCGAGCTAAACAAATTAGTAGGAATTAATCACTAAAAAAATCACTAATTTCAGGACAAGCGGAATCATCTAAATTTTTGAGGATTTTACTCTTAGATATGGCCTCGAGAGGATTCCTCTGAAATTAAGAGGAAAATATTATCATTAAATTATTATAAATTTTTTATACTATACAGATTATTTAATCTTCTTCTTTTTTAAGAGGATTATTATTTATTCTTACTGTATTTTATTCTTACTGTGTAGTATAAAGCATAAATACTGCATTTTCAGTTAATTATAACAAACTTACTAATATCAAAACACAAAACTAAATGATAATCCCATGATGCACAGCAAGCATCAGAAGCATCGCGGAATATAACAGAAAGTTAAACCCACAAACAATTTTTTCAATTCGTGGAACATCCAATGTTTGGACTTCTGAAGAGGAATTCAACCATTTATAAAGTTTTATAAATTTATTTGGAGACAGAGTTCTCTCTCGCGATGCGAATAGTAAGGCGCCATCGTATACACAACGATATATCGTCGTTGGCATTTTTCGTAAATGTTGTTAACAACGATATATCGTTGTTCGGCACTATAAGGGTTAAGTTGATTTTCTCCAAAAATTCTTGAACTTCGTTCACGACGAAATACCATGGAAAAACAACACAAACTGAACAGCAATCTCTCTTCTTCCTTTCCTTTATCCTTGTTTTTTTAGACGTCCATAAAATAAATGTGGCGACGATCGTCATATACACAGAGACAGAGAGAGAGAGAGAGAGAGAGGGAGGGGGGGAGGGGGGAATGTGTGTGCTTTGTGTGAATAGATGGAAGAGGAAAAACGCCGACAAGCGTCTCTCCTGATATAAGAGGAAAATTAATTGATACAAGAGAAAATCCTCTTGAAATAAGAGGAAAACAGTTGAAATAATATCTAATAAATTTTAAATGAATGGTTCACTCGAATCGCGCTTTAACGATGGAGGAATCCTTTTTCTGCAAAAGCCCTCGCTCAGAATGTGAGACTATGGGAAAAATCACTTTACAAATAGAACCCTTTTTCTTTTGGGCGAACAATCGAGCGTTTCGGTCCTGCCTGCGGCTGTTTTGCTCCGAGAGACGCTGATTTTCATATATGGGTCACCGGAAACTCAGCCAGGCGCGATTTCTTATCGGAGATACGCGTATCCGTCGGAGCGCAATTGCCGGAGTCGGCCCCGGGGATTTGACGTCGCGGCGGCGCGCGGCTGCTCTCCGGCCGAGAGGAGAGCGTACAAGTTGGTCGCACAAACGGCATTTATCTAATCAGTTTGATGCCTCGCCACTTTAAGAATCGTTACGGTGGCACGTCCTATCGTACTCGCCCTTTCTTCCATCGGGATTCAATGCGCGTCCTGCGTATTCCAGACAAATCACGAGCGACGTGCACGAGCGGTAGGTAAGGCGTCACGAAGGCCATCAAGATAACTAATCGAGAGCCGACACTCTGTACGTTCATTCCGTGACACCTTCTAACGACGTACACGACAGCACTAACGACAAACGCGCGGTAATTCCAGCAATGAATTTCTAATATTCACGGTCAATTTCAAACGCGAGTCACACTCTAGACGCTACACTGGCGCGCACGAAGATTAGTCGTCGCTATTTTTAACCCAAAACGCGTATAATATTTCCGTGACCTTCGGTTGCAAACGGCAAATCGACGACGGTGATCCAACTGGAAAATTTCACCGGTGAGCCGGCTCGACCGAAGGGGCGAGCGTTGTTTCAATAAACTTGAGTGGAATTGTTTAAAGATGTAGTGTTCTGAAGAGTCCCTATGAGCCAGCGAGCTGAACTTTTTACAGCACACTTCTCTAAGTATGGGAAAGGTAAATATAAAATATTAGACCTGGCAGTTAAATCGAAGTCGAGTTTAATGAGTTTCGCTTCCGAACAATCAGACACAATTTTTCACTCGTCACATCAACGTATTAAGAATTTCCGTGATCCAACAAGAAGTTACCGAACAAGTAAAGTTAGCGATTCAAATGATTTTTTAATCTTCCTTTGGAATTCCAAAATTTGTTCAACTATTGTCAGATGACAAACAACGCTGTCGACAAAATTATTAATAATGATTAACAAAATTTAAAAATTTAAATATTGCTATTTCAGAATTTCAATATTATTATTAATTTAAATATTGCTAAAAATTTCAGAATTTCAGAACTGGTTCAACTATAAAAGCGGTATTTAAATCTTTCGCCTTACTAAATTGACGAGTCCATCATATATACTAAATATATACTAAATACTATATATACTAAAATAACATATACTGAGTCTATCATATATCTAACGTAACCTAACCTAACCTTGAACATAAAGAGTACAATCATCTTAAAATGAATCGGTGCTAACACCCAGATGATTGAATCCCAGCGGAGACCTTTAAGCCCGATCTACAATGTGCTCTCTGCTTCCTATTTCTTATTTTTAATCTTTTCCTGACTCAAGATCTAAGGTTTAAGTCAAAAAGAGATAAAGAGAAAGAAACAGAAAACAAAGAGGATATTGTTAGATAAGGCTCAACGACTCAGCTTACAAAGAGGTAATGTTCCATCAGAGCAACTCTCGACTACCATGTCTGCGAATATCTTTGGCGGCGAGAAGTGTGTCAAATAAACCTTGATCCGTTTCAAAACTGATCATGGCAATTAGACAAATTTATCCTGGCAAAGGTTGTTGGTTGGGTGAACTCATCGTTAAGAAGCAAAACTCCTCAAACTCGGCTTTTAACAAATTAATAAACAACCAATAAATAATTGTCGGGACGAATATTTTATATTTAGCATTCCCACACAAGTATACTCTAAAGATTTCACTCGCTAGCTCATAAAAGTCCCTCGGGGTTACAGCCTTTTTTAATTTTGACAATGCCGTTGCAAGAATTTTAACGGGATTTTCGTGAATGCGTGTTTTCTTTCCATTATTTCTTATATCCCACATGTTATTTTTATTTCTTGTATTTCTTATAATACATGCATTATTCTTCCTTAAATTCTTTTTTTACGTTTTTACATTAATTTATTAATATTAATATTTATATATTGTACAAATTTATCAATTTCTTAATATTACATATATATTACATATACATTAATTTATTAATATTCATTAATTTATTAATATTATATACATATTATATTAATCCATTAATGTATTAATATTAATATTATATATTGGGTGAGTGCAAAAGTTCGTGCGGAGTTTGTGAGTAAAAGTCACACAGTGATTAGGCAAACAAAAATCTTTATTCAATCAATGATATATTCTCCATCGTTTTCTATAATCTTTTCCCAACGTTCTGGCAGCATACGGATGCCTCGATCATAAAAACTGCGCGATTTAGATTCGAAGAACGAAGAGACGCCGTTTTTTAAGGCCTCCAAAGAGTCAAAGTTTTTTCCATTTAAATAATTTTGCAATGACCGGAACAAGTGATAGTCAGATGGTGCGATATCAGGAGAATACGGTGGATGCGTTAAGACATCCCATTTCAGGCTCTTCAGTTTGCGCAGCGTCTTTTTCGAAACGTGTGGTCTGGCGTTGTCGTGATGAAAGACGACTCCCTTGCGATTTGACAAAATCGGACGTTTCTCTTTTATTTCTCGATTCAGATTGGTTAATTGGCGACAGTACTTGTCCGAATCAATCGTTTCGCCAGCGGGGAGAAGCTCGAAATAGATTATGCCCTTGCAATCCCACCAAACAGAGAGCATCACCTTCATCGGGTGCAAACTGGCCTTTGGCATTGCGTCACCATGCTCACCTGATTGTTTCCATGTCCGTTTGCGCTGAACATTGTTGTAGAGGACCCATTTCTCATCGCCCGTCACTAGTCGATCCAAAAACGACTCGTTATTGAGCCGCCCGAGTAAAGAAACGGCTGCAGAAATTCGCTTGATTTTGTTCTTCTCGGTCAGCAAATGGGGCACCCATATATCGAGCTTCAAATCGAATCCCATCTTTTCCATCCATCTAAAGTCCATCCATCTACGCAAAACATCGTCATCAATGTCAGAAGGTCGACCAGAGCGTGGCTCGTCTTCAAGGTTAAATTCTCCGCGCCGAAATTTAGCAAACCATTTTTCCACAGTTCGTTTAGCTGGTGCTTCATCCTGATAAACATCCTGAATGTTTTTTACGGCTGCGGCAACGTTTATTCCCTTCCGAAACTCGTAAAGCATAACATGCCGTAAATGCACCTTATCGATACTCATTTTTAAAGTGATATTTCTCGAAGCAGTTTGTATGAAAACAAATGATTTTTTTTTTAATAACAGCTGAAGACGTCACCTTTCCAACGTTATATAATATGTAGATGGAAGTATTAATGACAACACTTTACGACGCTTATAACTCCATCTATTGAAACTCCGCACGAACTTTTGCACTCACCCAATACATATTATATCAATTCATTAATGTAATATTAATGTAATATTAATATTTATGTATTATATTAATTTATATTAATATAGTATTATTAATATCAATATTAAATAACAAAGATATATTATTATGTAAAGTAGAAGATGAATTATATCGATCGATGTTTTTTCATCTCCGCTAAACTCGTAGTCCGACACACGGAAATTCTGCTCTCTTGTTGGACAGACCTTCGACAATTCGCGCAAAGTTTACAAAGATACTTTATCACAAGCGGTAAGAAGAGATAATATGATCGGTAAATAATTTCTCACGCTATGCTGAAAGTGGCTCGCTTTCTCGATTTCAGAACAATAGTCAAGATAGACGCGAGGGAGTGGTTGAGCTCGTAGGTGACTTGCACGGCGCCCGCTCAATGATCGCCCTGCCTCGTCGTCGAGAGGACAAAGCCGAGGACGAGGCGGACGGTGAATCGCTGAGTGCCGAATGTCCCCGTCGTGATCGGCGATGCCGTACGCGAGGACGTCGAGAGAGCGAACCGACACGCCAGCGAGCAGTTGAGACGTCCTCGAGGGTGAATCGAGGATACCAGCGAAGTCGACGGAAGGAAGCTCGAGCGACGTGTAGGCACGCGCGAGGTCATGCGGAGGAGCATCCTCTGATCCTCCCGCGCCTGGAGAAAGGCGCGACCTCGACAATATGATGTGGAAATCGAAATGGTCGCGCTTCACCGAGTGCTTCTGCCGCAGACCCGGCCTTGTCCTGGTTTTCTTGCCGTGCCTGTTGATCGTCACCCTCTACCTCATCTCCGAGGACAACTACGAGTACGAAGTGCAGTTTCCGTCCTTCAAGTCGTACAACATCACGGAAGGTGAGTCATCGTCGTCGTCGTCGTCGTCTTTGTTGTCTTTGCATTGCCGGCCTCTTTATCGTTTGATCCCTCGTCACGATGAAAGCTCGAGACGTTGTTTGCAAAAAGTGTCTCTCGTATCTCACAAGAACTGACGCGATCGATATTTGATGAAAATTTCACGCGCGATGTATCGCCCAAACCGCCGCTTAAACGACGATTAAAAAACATGCGAGGAATTGGCAGTTAGGTGGCTTTTCCCTCCATCAATAGGTCTTCAATATTCGAAGTACCTTGACGAATTGATGAGCGGCGGGGGGGAGGGGGGAGGGGAGAAGTTGTAGCGCGCATCGATCGTCACTATTTCTGGTAAGAGAGATATCGTAGAATTGAATGAGACGATAGAGATTTTAGGTTGCAAAATTGCAGGATGACCTTCGAATGGTGCCCGAGTCTCTTCTCACAGATTTAAATACGAGGTCTTTGCTTCTTCGGCTTCTACATTCGGATACTCGAATGCGAGGCTGTCGTGAATCCCCGCGTCGAGAATGACGAAATTACAGCGGCTTTCATCTCGCGGCAGGTATGGTAAACGGCTACCTCGTGTGGAATCCGAAGTGCCATATGGTGTCCAAAGAGCCTTTGGATCCGTCCATCGTGAAGTTCGTGAGGAAGGAAAAGTTGGAGAAATGCCCGAACGATATCATCTTCACGCAAATTTCAAGGGAGCCTAACGGCAGCACGTTCCTCTCCCTCGACCCCGCCATAACGAACCTGCACAGCGACGTGGTCTGTTGCTGGTCGTCAGTAGTCAGGCCGAAGGTGGACAAGCCGAAGAATGACAACTACGACATGGCGATATCGTAAGATTGATCCAGCTGTGTGTTTTAAGACGATGCCTCGGGAACGATCGAGATTCAGTCGCTCGCGAAACTGCAAAATTTTATTCACCTTTTTCATTCATAGTCTCGCAGTCACATCTTCTCGAAGAAATATCAGAATCATCGGCCGACTCCGGCGGCTGTCTAACGATTAAAGTCTCCGAAATGTAGAATTGAAGTCTCGGAAACGTCCTTGAAATACTCGCGACTTGCAAAATCCTCGCTGAAACGGGCAACCATATCCTCCCTTTGTCGTCAGGGTGAAGCAATGCGAGAACTTCACGGGACAAGTGGCGTTACCGCACGAGGTCGAGGTGGTGTATGTGTCGTGCAAGTCGAAGATGGCGAAGCCGAAGGTCAAGGCGAAGCATGCCAAGCCAAGTTCAGCGAAGACGGTGTACGAGAACGTTCATCCGGTTCTGAATCCCGACAAGGTGCGCGAGCGCATCGAGAACAACGCCAACCAGTCGGCCGGAGCCTCCTCGAAGAAGCTGAGCGTCCTTATCTTTGGCATCGACAGCGTCAGCAGGCTCAACTTCTACCGGACCATGCCAAAGACCGAGAAATACCTGCGCGAGAACGGCTGGATCAGCCTAAAGGGCTACAACAAGATCGGCGACAACACGTTCCCAAACCTAATGGCGATCCTCACCGGCCAGAACTCGCAGCAGGCGTACGCGAGGTGTAAGCCGACGGTGGCCTACAAGCTCGACAACTGTCCGTTCCTCTGGCACAACTTCCGGAACGCCGGTTACGTGACAGCCTATGGCGAGGACGAAACGGTAATCAACACGTTCAACTACCTCAAGGTCGGCTTCGTCGACCCGCCCACGGATTACTACCTGAGACCCTACATGTTGGCCAGCGAGAGGCTGTTGAAGGTGAAGAGAAGGTAGTGACGCCTCATTAGCTGCTACTTAATTGCCGTCCATTATACACGTTACGTCTAGCGTGTCTAGCTTTGATGAGAAATCACAGGCCGAAACTCGCTCACTCGTTCACTCGCTCACACTGCTTGCAGATTCAACATGAAGTACTGCACCGGGCCGGAGACGAGCTTCGAGCGGATCTTCGACTACGCCGTCAACTTTGCCCGCACCTTCATGAGAGTGCCATACTTTGGTTTCTTCTGGACGAATACCGCCAGCCACGACAACATGAACGGCATCTCGTCGATGGACACGCGCATACTGCAACGATTCGAGCTTCTGGAGCAGGAGTCGGTGCTGAACGACTCGATGGTAGTTTTCCTGAGCGACCACGGAATGCGCTGGGGTGGTATTCGCAACACCTTCGTCGGCTGGTACGAGGAGAGGCTGCCGTATATCTACATCTGGCTGCCCGAGTGGTTCCGGAAGGAGAACCCAATAGCACATCGAGCTCTCGAGATCAACCGGAACCGACTCACTTCGCCGTACGACCTCTACGAGACTTTTAGGGACGTTCTCGGCTTCGCGGCCGGCGAAGCCGATCCCAGTTCGGGCTGTGCCACCTGCCAGTCCCTGTTCACGCCTGTCCCTAGAGAGAGAGGCTGCCAAGACGCTGGGATAGCGTCTCATTGGTGCACCTGCACAGCCTTCAAGTCGGTCAACGTCTTCGACGAGATCATTATGAACGGCGCCCACAAGTTCTTGGATCACGTGGAAGACACTGTGCGACATTACAAGGACAAGAAGGGTCGGCGAATGTGCGCGCGGCTCAAGCTGAAGAAGCTGCATCGGGTGGACAAGGTGATCGACTTCGGCGCTACGAATTCGTCCAGCGTCACTTACTTCTATATGCTCCAGACGACGCCCGGCAACGGCAGCTTTGAGGTCACCATCAGATACGACGGCAATGGCAATTACACCATGTCCGACAGCGAGGTCAGCAGGATCGACTCTTACGCGATAAGTGCCAGGTGTTTGAATCGCGGGATGAAACAGTATTGCCAATGCATCAAGTACACGTAGTGAAGACCCGTCCGGGTCTCCTCATTCTGCGACCGTCGTCGCAATTTTGAACTCGGTTAGTCTTTCTACGATTTCAATTGTTTGGCGCAGCAGACAGTCGGTTCCCTTTGTCTTTTTGCTCTTTCCGCTAACAGCACAGATGTCCAGAGGACGTCCAGACGTCTTACGGGACATCCTGGGGACGTTTCTTCATCCTCAGGACGTCCATAAGACGTCCCCAGGAGATCATGTGCTGTCTGGATCTCTTCTTCGTCGGAGAGTTGGGCGAATCAATCTTTTTCCCGGGAACGAGCTTGTCGAGCGTCTCTCGCAGGTTGAGCAAAAACATCTGGGAAGAATTCGATCCAACTGAGTTTGCTTGCCGTGTCAGCGGCCCAAGTTGCCGAGGGGACATCTCAATTCGATACAATATGATTGGACCCAGCTAATCAGCTCAGGGTTTAGGGCTGGTTGCTCCAACTTCTAGGTAAGTTAACTGATGGTTAAATCATATGTTTGTCTTTGTTTTTCCTTCAACTTAGACAAAGACAGACATATGATTTAACTATCAATTAACTAGTACCAAGAAGTTGGAACAACCGGGCCTTAGGTTAGATTAGGATTAAGTTAAATTTGAGTTAATATTATTGATTGTGTCCAATCGCAACATGGCCCATCGGACTCTACTCGTTGCCGAACTCTCTCCGATCGCGAGTGCGTAATGCATATTTGTATCGGTATGTTCGACGACATATCGAACGCGCATATCGATCGTCTGAAAAAGCGAAGGACTGAATGGTTATACGTAAATGCACGTTCATCGCGACAGTATCGATACGCTTGGCGACATATCGAATGCACATATCGAGCGCACATATCGATCGTCCGGAAGAAGAACGAGGGATTGAGTGATTACGCACGAACGCACGTCCATGGCGATCAGGTCCTCCAGCGAGGAAATACAGCAGTGGCCTAAATTCCAGTGATAAACGACAAGTGCTGATCCACAACAACAGTGTCGACGGCTTGGGACGGATTTATCGATACGTCGCGGAATAGGACTGTCGATCGTTGACGAGTGAAGATTAACCGCCACCAGCTGCGCGCCAGCAACGCCATCTGGATTAACAACGAACCCTTGACGAGTACTTTGAAGCCCATATCAGACTATGGATTGGGATTGAGATTGAATTTAAATTTGACTAATCGGAAGAAAGAAAATAATTTCAAATATAGTAAACTTAGCTCTGATTGGTTGAATTTCAATCCAATACTCAATCCCAATCCGTAGTCTGATCCGTACGGGTTTGAGAGACCTTTGGTCTGTTCTTTTCAGCTGCACTGCGGAACTAGTGCAATAAGTCAGAATGAGACAACTATATTTTTTCTCACTTTAACTTATTGCACCAGTTCAGTAGTGCAGCTGAAAAGAACAGACCACTTGAGGTCTCAACGTACTCGCGATGTTTTACACTTCGCTCCTCAGATTCACGAATTTCCACGAGCGAGGTCACCTCGAAATTTTGCGAAATTTTTGCGCGCTGTTCGTTTGCGCAGATTAATAATCGTCGGGAGATAATTACGGGGGAGAGCGCAAGAGCATCGTGCGTGGGAAATGAACTCGGCAAGAGAATCCCAGCGACTGCCTGTAATTTATCGTGTAATTAATGTACATTACCGCGCGTGTCGGAGCGCGTATATGTGCACGTCTCACTCGCGAGAATTGTGTTCTCCTCTCTTTCCCGGTTTTCCGCTTCCTCCCCCACGCCCATCGATCGCGCGAGTCTTACGATTGCGCGTCTCGACCTTCAGATCGATATATCGTTAAAGATGCATGAGCGCGCGCGCACGAAGAACACATCGATAACAAGGAGGTCATCCGCGTAATCGCGAAGTAGCGCGAGCGTGTCCGGCTCGTCTGACGTTCTTGCGATTGTAGCGCATTCTTAGAGGCATTAGCTCTCCGGTTCGATAAGTAACGCGTGTGCCTGTCTTACAACAAGTGCCAAAGTCCGTTCGTTCTGCGCTAACCGCGGCGTCGACAAAGCGCGTGTATCTCTGCTTCACGCACCGACGGCGATCCAACGCGGCTCGATCGCCCTCGCATGCGCGGTGCACGAAGACGCGCTGCGTGTATAAGCTGAGAGAGAGAGAGAGAGAGAGAGAGAGAGAGAGAGAGAGAGGGGGAGAGAGAGAGAGAAGGAGCAAACCACGAAATGGCCAATGAATATACATCGTGACATATCTATTTTACTACGAGGTTACGTTAAGTTTTAACTTACAAGTAACTATCCAATTGTCACTCACCAATCGGAATGAAACTTTGCTCTCTTATAAAGCATTGAAAATCCATTTTTTTATTTTTCCTCAAAACGCTTTTTAACTCTTTGACTGTTTAAGGCAAATTGTATCGTGTGAGACAAAAATGCGTTGACACAAAGTAACTCTGATGATCATAAAACTCGGTATTCTAAGGTTTTTTGGGTCGCTAAATCTAAATATGATGTCAAAATTTTAAAATTCAAAATGGCGGATCCAATATAGCGGATATCAATTTTCAAAAATCGACATGTTTTTATAAAACTCGGTATCTTAAGATCATTTGGATTGCTGAATCCGAATATATCAAAATTTCAAAAGCAAAAGTGGCGGATCCAACGTGGTTGACACCAATTTCGAAACATATTTTTATAAAACTCAGTATCCTAATTTTGGAATTTTGATATCATATTCGGATTCAGCAACCTAAAAAACCTTAGGATACCGAGTTTTATGAAAATATGTTGATTTTTTTAAATTGGTATCCGCCATATTGGATCCGCCATTTTGAATTTTAAAATTTTGATATATTCGGATTTAGCGACCCAAAAAACCTTAGAGTACCGAATTTTATGACCATCAGGCTTATTTTGTGTCAATGCATTTTTGTCCCACAAAGTACAATTTGCCTCCGACAGTTAAGGGGTTAAAAAACGTTTTGAGGAAAAATAAAAGAAACGAATTTTCAATATTTTTCAATGCGTTATAAGAGAGCAAAGTTTCATTCCGATTGGTGAGTGACAGTTGGATAGTGTTACTTGTTAGACGACGCCGAGGACGACGCGAGGCCGACGGCGATCGTGAGAGATGTAATTATGACAAACGTTTCGCGATCACACATCTGGACCATTCTCTCCGTGTAGGATCGAGCGAGCCAAGTTGAACTAAGTTCCGCAGACGACAGCGATAGGACCTAAATCGCGCCTAAATCGCAAGTGCAGAAACGTTCCTCGTGTTCGTACGTTCGTTTCCGCGACACTCCTGTCTCTCGAAGACGTCACGCGACGGTCGATTTCGCGAAGGGAGACATTTCTCTCTCTGAAGAGAGAATCGTTCACGAGAACTTTTGCATGAGCGTCTTTGATTCTGTACAAGAAATGGTGTTTTTATCTGCCTTCTCCATCAGTGCATAAATTAGTAAATTATTATTATCATTATTATTATTGTTACTATTATTATTATTATTATTATTATTATTATTACTACTGTTATCAACGTCTCTCTCTCATACATACTCTCGCGTGGAAATTTCTTTTATCTTTACACCTTTTGGTCTTCTGTAAATAAAAGCGATGCGGAAGTGAAAATCGATACAAAGAGTTACCACCCGAGTAAATCCGTCCGATGAAATTTCATTCATTGCATCTTTATTTGCGAGTCATCCTACGCAGCAATCTATCGCCGCGATATATCAACCGCTCTAGCCTGTGATTCTTCGACTTTTCACCGGTCAGCAAGCAACGGTAAATATGTCGTTACTTCGATTGAAATCAAGGCACTCAACTTATCGCATTCCGTTTGCCGTCTAATCGTTGGTAAGAGCGAGCCAATTCGACACACTATGAAATCTCCGCTGTTCCTCCTTCCTCTTCCTTTGTTCTGAAAAGCAGGAGAAATCAGACACACACCAGAAATCATCCTTCGTCTTTATCATTTCTTCGTCTCGAGACGACACGACACGCTCCATGTCCGACTTCCAGCTGCGATCCAGCCGCCATCCCTCCACCTACAATCAACGAATCTTAACTCGACAAGGCGTCCTCGCTGGAACGCCATACATGGGCTCGCATCCGCTCTCGCAGCTCCCTCGTCGTCGCGGCGTTGCTCGCTCGGTGCGCCGGGTCCGCTGACTCGCGCGCCGTCCCGTGCTCCGGAGTGCCGAACAACATCATGGCGACCGATTGCCGTTGACCGTGGTTGGCGTTGAGGTTCCTGCGCGCCAGATACGAGTCTAAGACGCGGATGCCCTCGTAGAGGCTGTCCAGGTCGCAGCTGGAGTACCGTCGCTTGCTGCCGCGCCGGCCGAGCACGCTCCTCGGCGTGCCGCTCGGCGTGTTCGCCATCGTACTGGGGCCCGGCGTGTACGCGATGCTCGCTGCTTCCGACACGATCTCGAACTCGTCCTGCAGCTTCTCGTAGCTATTGTACGCGCTTACCGTGGAGATCCTGTTGAGGCAGCTATCGCGGGAGCACGTGGAGAATTTCCTGGCGGAAGCCCCGCGCTGGGCGCCAGAAATCGGCGACGACGTCGCCGTCGAGTTCAAGCTGACGCTCTGGTGACACGGTTTAGTCAGCTTGCTGCCTAAGAGTCGTACGATGGCGTTCTTCGACACCGACGGATCCTCCGACTCCTGATACTCGTTGGTCCTTTTCGCGGGACTCGACGCGCTCGTCGTCGTGCGATCTGCTTCCGGTTCCAGGGCCTCGTGATCATTGTCGTCGTGATTTAGCAGTCTCGTCAGCTTGTTCGAGGCCTCGAGCGAGAGGTCCTGAGGGTTGCTACTGATTGCGCAGCCGCACGCTCCTTCGCAGGAACAGCCGGTGTTCTTTCCGTCCGGTCTGTCCATAGGATTCGAATCGAAGCTACGAACAAGTTTTTTAGTCGAGTTACACGCACATAATTACATATTTATGCATACACATATAATTATACACATGTGTCCCGTTTTAACATCGCAGGAAGTAGTCGGATGAGGAAAATGTTTTAGACAAAAATTGTTTGGCTTAACCCTAGAAGGATCGGATTTGACGACTGTCCTAAAAGAACCTAGGAGCCAAATTGCCTCCAAATATATCTTTTCGTGAATAACAAAAGAAGAAAGAAACGAAACGTATAGGTAATTATAAAATTTGATGTTTTAACAATAACGTCACTAATTTATTGAACAAAAAGAACTGTGAGTTGTATTATATTGAATTTTTTTAGTCTTTGATGAAAGACTAAACGTGAAATACAACTCCTTTATTACATTACAGGAAACGCATTTGTATATAATTTTCTTTGTACATTCACTGCACACAAACTTTTTACACGAACATTTGCTAACTCTGTCGCTTGTTTTGCAGTTTTTTTTTATTTGACAAAATGGTCGTTTGCCTGAAGCATCGTCGGATTTAGTTTTTTCTCCGGTTGAACCAAAATTTTGAGACTTTCGTCTTTGGGCAACATCTGGGGCAACTCAACTCTTCCGCGAGATTTTGTAAAAAGATTATTCTTAATATTGTATTTCTTAATTTTACACGTAACTTTCTTGTATATAATCCATGCATTTATAACAGCAAAATTCAAAATATTATAAAAAGCATGAACTAGTCAATGGCGAGATCGCCGAGATAGATGCATATCTATGTGTACATATGTGTATATATAATGGTTTTTCAAGCGAACAAATAGATAGATACACATAAAAATATTTATTTATCTATTTAAAGTCATAAAACTTGTAAATAAGCTCGTAAAACATATAAGAATGCAATATCAGATATAAAGGAGCCAAATTGATTCCAACGGTCCTTCTAAGTAGATAATCACATAAAAATTCAACCTTCTTATATGAATGAAACATTCTTTTACCAAAATTAAGAACATGAAAAATGATGAAAAATCACAAAAGGATATCACGTGGTGGCAAAGTTGAAAAAAGTTATAGCAGTTTAAATTTCGCGAGGAGCCAAATTGACTGTCTCGGTCTTTCTAGTGTTAAAGTTGTTTGATTTAGTTTGATGATTTTGAAATTTCTAAAGGTCAACAAGTTAACGGCAAGTCAGGGCACTATTGTAATAGCATATTCTTGAGATCAAATAGAGTAAAAACGTCTTGTACCACTTTTTTTTCCGTCAAATAGTTACCGAGATATCGTAAACTAAAGCTTGAAAAAGTTACCAAGTTTTCCTTAAATATCTCAAAAAATATTAAGCAACTAGAAAAATGTTTCAGACAAAAGTTGTCCAAATTAATTGGTAGAAAAAGATGATATAATAAAAAATTGGGATTTCCATTTAAGAAAAATAATGATCGATGAATGTGACTCGAAAGTGGCGCTGTCTGTAGACAAAATGAAAATCGCTGTCTTATATGCCCCTTCAAACCAAGCAAGACTTCTTTCTTTTATCCAACCACTCTCTGCGATATTAATCGGGATGCACAATTAAAATGGGACACCCTGTATAATTATTACATATATGTAATATATTTTCGATCGTCGTATCTCATCTGTATTGCTTTCTCTTATATATGTTTCTTTTATATGTTTATACCGAAGGGTTTCCTGTGAATGAAAATTATTATTATTATTTTTATTATTATATACCAAGATGCCGAGATTCTTGAGATTACCTGTCGACGATTTCGCTGCGAGTTTCTTCCGGAGCACGTCGGCTATTTTCCTCCGACGTTACCTTCGCCATACCTTCTCGAACGGCTTTGATCTCCTTTGGAAGACCGTCGGGCCGCCAATTGGCGTCCAAGGTGGCAGGACGACCCATCCGGTACGTAGTAAGCGCTGCGATGGCGACGGTTGAGGACGCAACGTTGACGGACTGCGGATACTGCGCACTGCGTCGGAGCCAAGTGCGACGGATCGGACAGATCTGTCTCATCGAGGCCGACAAGCCGGCTATCACGTTCCTCGATATGGTTCCTGGCGGCGTAACATATGGGGGTGGTGGGCTTTCAGGTATACGTGGCCGTCGATTATTCCCCGACGCTATCGGCGTCGTTTGACTGTTGCGGCTATTGTTCGCGTCCTCCACCACCAGGTAGGTAGAAGAGTTTGCGTTCTCACCGTGCCTTTATCGTAAAATGAGATTTTTATTCTGATGAGAAACCGCGCAATTTCGCGACAATTGAAAATCCAAGTTACTCTCGTCTTTCGTCTCTCGTCTTTTGTCTGACACGATTATACATCGACGTACATGATCGAATTGAAAGAGCCAGCAGACTGGAACTCTCAGCTAGATGAATGAACACGAATGATTGATTTCGAACGAATTGCAGATGATATTGTTCATTTGCAAATTATTAACCGCTTCGTTGGCATTGACACAACTAATGCGCGCATCGTTTATTTTTTTATTGACCAGTCCGATTTTCGTAAAAATTGGTACTCTAAGGTTTTTGAAGTTACTGAATAAGAATTTGAGGTCAAAATATGGTAATTCAGAATAACGGATCCAAAATGACGGACCAAAAAAATAAAAATCTATCTGATTATTATGAAACTCTGTATCTGGGAATTTTCCAGGTGACTAAATAAGAATTTGAGGTCAAAATATGGCAATTCGAAATGGCGGATCCAAAATATTTCTTTATTAAATTTCTAAAAAAAATCTAGTCACTATATTACATATACTGTCTTGAATTTTCAAGTTTTAAACTCAAATTTGTTTTTAGCAACCTGAGAAACCTCTAGATATCGAGTTTCACAATAATCACAATTTCCTTTTTTGGACTACTATATTGGATCAGCCATTTTGAGTCTTAAAATTCATATTCAGCAACTTAGAAAACTCCTACATATCGAATTTCATGAAAAATCAAATACATTTTTTAGCCGCCATTTTGGATTCGCCATTTTGAATTTTCATGTTTTGATCTGAAATTCGTACTCAGTCACCCGAAAAATATTTGAGTATACCGACGTTTATAAAAATCAAGTATGATTTATATGTTGCCATTTTGGGTCAGTTGATGCCCTATTTCTCAGTGCCAACAAAGTGGTTAAAGCACTTCTTACTTCAAAAGACGAAACAATCGGGAAATGACAAATTAGCCGTGAAACTGTGAGGGACTATTGAAGAGCCTCGATGGCTTCGAAAGATCCAACATTAGTCAGGTAAAATTACGTAAAGAGGAGTTTACTGATTCGGAGAGCTCCTGCTGCATGCTTCGCGATTCAAGTATCGAGCCTTCTTCGGCAAGACGAGCTTCGCAACCTCCTCGTAGCCCGGTGGAGCCTCGTACACAGGTGGATCATCCGGAATGGAGATTTCATCGATCCGTGCACCATCTGCAATGTTAAAAACTATCCGGATGACCGGTCACGGTGAGAGAGTCGTCTTGCTCCTATTAATTGTAGGAGCTAACGACTCCCATTAACAGCCAGCGCGCTTTGACTCGCGTATTTGAAGAATAGCCTGTGACCGATTGAAGTTCCGCGAGATGTCGCGCTCGGCGGACGACTCGGTCGAAATCGGTCATTATCGATATTTGCGGGAAGATATTTTTCAGAGGGAAGCGAGTCTATTATTCTCGCGAGTAACATTTACTCGACGACGAAGGAAGACAGTTGAATGAGGCAACATGGGCTCGACAAATAAATAGAATCTGCTCTCTCTTCTTGGCAAAGTTGCCGCGCAAGTAACGGCTCTTATCTCTTATCTGTTTTCCGATAGTACAGCGATACTCTTTCGAAGCGTCCCAAGTGCGAACGACAGGAACATCTGGCGAAGGGGGGGGGGGTCGCGAAAGGAACGTGCACGTACCTAGAAGCTCGCTGATTGTTTCGAGACGAGACTGCAGCTCCCTTTGTTGCCTCGCTCTGGCTCCTATTCTATAGAGCAGTATAATGAGGGCCGATATCAGGACAATCAAACCAAGGCTGCTGGCAACGAACACCAGGGTGGCCGTTTTCAAATCGGGATATCGATCGATCTTCGGGAAGTAGTAATTTGCTTTGTTCGTGTGCCATTTGCGACCGCGCGGCTCTACCTCCCAGTCTGCGGGAAATTGTACAGACAACTCGGAAAGTAGCTCGCTTACAAATGCAATCTCCCTCTCCCTCCCTCTCTCTCTCTCTCTCTCTCTCTCTCTCTCTCTCTGTGCTTTCCAAATGTTACTTATTCCGTCGGAGAATCGGATATAAAATTCGCCAATGAATTATTCATCAACCAAGCGATCCCGTCCTTGCCTACCTTTCGCCAACTACGTACCAACAGCGTTCTTGTGATACTTTCTTTCACTGAGAGTGTAACTCCCTCTTGAAAAATACGCTATTTAGAACATCTCTCTCACGTCGAGCGTCGATCTTGAAATCGCCAGGCTCTCATCACAGACACTCACCCTGAAAACACGTCGCTGGCTCGTCGCTGTTATCGCCACAGTGATCGAACCCATCGCAGTTCAGCTGAGTCGGGATGCACCTGTGGTTCTGACAGAGGAAGTCGGTGCCGGCGAAGCAGTCTGCAACGTGTAACCCATCAGAATCGCATCGTAGCGAGATCGTTTGCGCTATGTGACTCATCACCGTCGACAACAGACTCACCCATGTAGCTGAAGGCCGCGTAGGCGATCGCCAAGTGAGAACTCGGGCCGAATGTACCACGAAGACTCACGTGGAAGCCGCTGGAGACCGAAGCGACGTGTTCTCTGTGCCTGGGTGGCTGCAGCTGGCTCGCCGGGTGTCTGATGACTTCCAACGCCATCAAAGCCGAGGTCGGACCTTCCTTGATGATCAGCTCCGTGTTGCCGGCTGAAAAACATTTCCGCCCGAGATATGCAGCGATTGTTCTCGCGCATAAAATCAGGCAAAGTCGCGAATCTAGAGATCTCTCTCTCGTCCGGTTGTAACCGGACATCCACGTACCCATGTCGGCGAAAGCCACTACTTTCAGGTACATGTGCGTCTTCATGTGCAGGAAGTTCTTCGGCGGCCGGATCAGCCAGACGCAGTCGTAGGTCTTCACCCCTTGACCGACCATGTTCATCATCGTGATAGCGCCGCCCAAGTTCTCCACGTATCCGCCGCAGTCGGTGATCGGCTGCACGGACTTGTCAAACGCGTGGCCGATGACGAAGGAGTAAAAGGCTTTGTAGCCGAGGCCGGTGCCGCCATTCGCGTAAAATCGGATCAGCAGCGACGGGCCGGAGCTGATGATGAACGGCGGTCGAAATCTCGCGCCGCTGCTCACATCCAAGCGCTGGCCGTTCCAGTCGTAGAACTGTGAAGATACCAATACGAGAGTTCAACAGTAGAATGTTCGTCTCTCAAGAGCTATAGACGCGAGTGAAAGAGACGAGAGAAGCAGCTTCTCTGCGGAGAAAATATTGGGTTGTTCGGAAAGTAATTTCTGTTTTTTTACATGAAAATGAAAGACGATATTTTTTATGAGAAGAAAAGTTTTATTGTGTCAAGCATTTTGTTCCAACACTTTTTGCCATCTTTAAGGTAATAATATGATTTCGCACTCGTAGAATTTTTGGTCTTTATTGGCAAAAAAACTGAATTAAGTGGTTTCTGACATCTTCATTTGATTTGAAATTTTTACCATCCAAAGAATTTTGCAGTGACCGAAACAAGTGATAATCGGATGGTGCTGGAGATCAGATGAATATGGTGGATATGGCAGCAAATCCTATCCAAACGCTAACAGCTTCTGGCGAGTCATTAAACTTGTGTGAGGTCTGGCGATGCCATGATGAAACACAACACCTTCTCTGTTCGCCAATTCTGGTCTTTTCTGCTTGATGGAATCATTCAATTTGTCCAGTTGATGACAATACATATTCGAATTAATCATTGGGTTGTTTGTAGCAGCTCAAGAAAAACCATTCCTTTCCAATCCCACTCTTTTTCTTCTGGAGTACCTCACCTTCTTTTGATGAATATCAGCTTTCGATGTGTTTTGAACTGGTCCATCACGTCTACTCCATAATCTTTTGCGTTTAATATTGTTGTACACGATCCATTTTTCATTTCCAGTTGTGAGTCGCTTTAGAAATGGATCGTCTTCCTCATGTTTCAACAGCAAATCGCAGATGGTAATGTGACGAATCAAATCTCTTTCCTTGAGAACGTGTGGAATCCAAATATCGAGCTTTGAAATGAAACCAAGTTGTTTCAAATGCTGATGCGCGGTCGAATTCGATAAATTCAATCTCTCAGCAATTTCTCGTATTGTTAAATGACGATTTGCGTCCACCAATGTCTTTTGTTTGATTTTCATCAGCCTCAACTGGTTTTTCAGAATGTGATGCATCTTTGAGGTGAAAATTCCCAGAACGAAATTTCGAAAACCAATTCTGACGGTCAGTCAATACTCTCCGTACACAGCACACAATTTTTTTCTTGCTTGCGCTGCATTTTTGCCTTTACGGTAATGAAAAGGCAGAATGTGACGAAGATACTCACGTTAATTTTTCATTTGTTGATGCGACGCCAAACAAAAACAACTTGACAGATTCCAAAACAACTTGTTTTCCAATGAAGCTTGAAATGTGCGTTGTAAGAATGTAAAATGATTTTCTGGTTTAGAAAGAGGTTAAACTGCTTAAAAAGGCAACCAGCACCATCTATTTGAAAAAACTGAAATTGTTTTCCGAACAACCCGATAATTGCGAGTGTGCTAGGCGCACCTCCATTATGGAGACCGTCGCCATTTGAAAGTCGCTGAAGAGCAATCTAATCCGGCAAGTGGAAGCCTCGTTGGGACATGTGATGATGTACTCCAGGCCTAAGTCGCGCGGGTACCGAGCTGGGAAAAACGGCGAGGTCAGGATACCGCCGCCGGTGCCGTTCGAGCCCTTTGTCGGCGTCCCCGATGTCATTTCCGTGCCTTTCAAGTGCAGTCTATTTCCTGCGGAGCGAAAGAGCGGCGCGTCGATTCCGAGATACTTTGTTCGACCGCGGTGACGTTCGATTTAAGAGCGAAAGGGGGAAAAAAGAGGTTAAATTATTCATGCCCACACTCTCTCGCGCGTCGACGAGCAGGTCGGAGGAGCGTATCGGAAAACTCGCTGCGCGAGATCCCGCGAAATAGCACGAAAAGGATACGGCGCTCCTTAATTGATCGGGGCGTCCCGCCCCGGCATCGTCCCGCTTAATTCCGAGAAACGGACGGCAGAGCTCTGTTGTACCTCCACGCGCGCAGCTAATGAACTTTTCTCAAGATTGTGTCCGTGATCAATTCGCGTGGCGTCGACGTCGTTAAACGCGAGAACCACTACTCATTGTTATCTGTACTGACTTTCCGCCGTGTACTCGATGGTGAACGCGTGCTTGTGGGACTGGCTGTAGAGCAGGTTTATGGACAGGGTCCTCGTGCTCGATCTGTATGTGATCGGCGCGTACGATCCGCAGAACGGCGTGCCGGACACATCCTCGTATGGCGGCTCCGACAGCCACACGTAGTCGCACCTGCAAAGCGCATATCCGCTTTCAAAGTGAGCCTGCGACTTTTCACGCACCGCGCCGCGTTCCGTTCCACCCACCGAGAAGTAAAAAGGCCGGTCCAAAATAGATTGCAAGCACCCAGTTGCGAGTTGCGAAGAATGGCAACTACTAGTTACAAAGTGTTATCTTTGGTCGTAAGACAATTGCGGTTACTAAAAGAGAGTTGCCTAACTTTTCACTTCTTGGCGACGGCAACCGGCAATCGCAACTGTCTCTTACAACCGAAAATAGCACTTTGTAGCTAGTAGTTGCCATCCTTCGCAACTCGCAACTGGGTGTTTGCAACCTATTCTGGACCGGGCTTTACACTTTGTGCTGTTGCGATTGCCGGTTGCCGTTGCCAAGAAGTTAAAAGTTGGGCAACTCTCTTTTAGCAACCGCAACTGTCTCTTACGGCCGAAAATAACACTTTGTAACTAGTAAGTAGTTGCCATCCTTCGCAACTCGCAATAACTGTTTTCAATCTATTCTGGACCGGCCTGGAACGTGCGGAAGCGTATCTATGACGAAGCGACAAGTTGAAAGCTAATCGCCCCGCCAAAGTGACGAGGCTTGCAAGAGTTTATCGGGAGAGTCGACGATCTCATCGGAAAGATGAGTCATTGTCGTACAAATGCGAGAACAAACAACTGCCTGAAAATACCAGCGAAAAATAGATGACAGATATCTTAACTAAACATAGCATGTATATTGCTTCATTATCGTTAGCAAACAACGACTGAGATTCCGACGAGCTCTGCAAAACGTGCGCAGCTCTTAATATTAAATTATAAGGACGTCGCTTGATTCGCGCGACAAAAATTTCTGCGATCACGTTGTATCAATTTGACAAAGCCGAAGATACGTTCGGAAGGAAAGCAATCTCCAGTCGCATTCACCGACACCCCCTTGCCCCGGTCCTACCTGCAAGGGCTGTCCATCACGACACCTCCATCGCCGCAGTGGTGCGACAGCGCGATGTTCCTGAAGGTGACGATGATCACGCAGGACGGACATGTCACCAGCTCGAGGCTGCACTGATGATGCGAGCTGTTGGTAGTTGCGTAGGGACGCAGCGCCGGCTGCCTGACGAAGGTGACGTTCTTCGCGTAGAGAACACCCTTCTCGCCCAGCTCCAGGTATAGGCGCCTGCCATTGCGGGGCCCGCAGATGTCCTCGTTGTGGATGACGTTCCCGGCCGCCGCGAGCAGCCAGCATAAGCTCGCGAGAATCACTGCATTGGCCGCGCGGGGTGGAGTTTTCGCGGAGGTGCAAGGAAGCAGAAGAAAAGGAAGATGAGACAACGTCTTGCGATTAACCACGGCGTCGCGCACAAGATTCGACACGCAATCTTTGATTCCCGGTCTCGGCCGTCATGCGTATTTCCCCTTACCGTATTTAGTCCGGCGCATATTCGCAGCACGGGAAGCGACGTTCTGCGCTTCCCTCTCAGGGAAACCTGAGCTGCGATTGCGTTATAATGTCGTTAGCGCGCCACGACAGCGTTACGCACCTTGCTAATATCGCATAAAGCACTCTTATGGCATCCCCCCGAAGCGGCGGAACGTGCCGTTCTCGTGAGTATTTTTTACTCGGCCACTGCGGCTAGCCCAACTCGCTACTGTCGACGACGACGGCGGTGAGATCGACTTGAAGAGTCGCCTTACATAATGGCATTATCATATTTTTTAGTGCCGCTCCCGATATTGTCTTCGACGTGTCACCTTCGACTCGACCTTACCTCCCCGAGCCCCCCCCCCCCCCAGCGAGATTGGTTCCGTTAATCATGAATAAACAACGCGAGCGCGGTACACTTTCTTGCAAATGACATCGTTTTCTTAAAGCCACGCACTTTGCCCCGCGAGAGAAAGAAGATAATTTTGCGACTGCGTGGCCGAAAAACAAAATAACAAATGAGAAATGTGTAACATGTATGAAGCCTTCCAGATAGCGTAAGACATCCCGGAATCATTCTGAATATGTCCCGAGGATATCTTAGAAAGTATCTTGAGCACATCCAGAATGGTCGCAGGGAGTTCTGGGCTAGCTGGCTTATTTGTTGACTCTGCATTTTTTCGAGCGTACTCGAAGAATTGCACTCGAAGAATAGAGCGATGACAGAAAACAGTCTGCCGCAGCAGTCAGTTGCCCGCCATTGACGCGCAGTGACGCGATAATCGCGCTGCATGTCGCACAAGAGAGCTATGAGGGATCCTGATCTGTTGACGGATATCCCGGAGCTGTCAAATGATACGCCCGAGATGGATCTCAGCATTCACCCGGAGAGACAAAGATACCCCTTCTGCATCGTTTGGACACCGTTGCCTTTCCTAACGTAAATCTATCTCCGCAGATCGGGCGTCACCTAACCTAACCTCAATCGGGGCTTCGCCCTGTGTATTTTGACATTTGTCAAAAGTGTTGTGATTGTCGTTGATAATCGTTACGTGAACACGCAGAGGGAACTTGTGAAGCTTCCGGAGAAGCTGTTTTTATAATAGATAAGAGATCACATCCGTCGCGTGAAATTTTTCGAGTCAATATAGGAATTCCTTTGATTTTTTAAGATACATCCTGCCTTTTATCGGGCATATGGGCATCGCAACGTCGACTGGAGTGATAAGAGACTTCGCCGGTCCTTACCACGTCTCCGAGGATGACATGGCATTCGGCAAACCCACCAAATACTGGCAATTGGATTACACCAAAGCCAAAGGAGGTGTGCAAGGATGGGATGCCGCTGTGGGGGAAGCTAGCGAAATTTATAAGACTAGAATGGTAATGGGATAGTGAATCGGAAGGATATGCTGCAGTTTCATACACAATGACGCAGAAGTCATTTTTCCTTAGCACTACCTATGCTGGGACAATTGTCATTCGCATGTAGCTCGAGCCTTGAACTTAATGGCATATGACAATTCGAGCAACTGGAATATGGTGAAACTTGCATTTTACATGCTGGTCTATGGGAAATATGTGAGGTAGACAATCGAGAGCAGTAGAAAAACACACATGGCACATGACGATATTCTTCATTGATCTTATTGTTTCAGTGTCCTGGGATACCTCAAGACCTGGCTACCTTTCTGTTTACTTGTTATAATTGTACTTGGATTAAGTCTATATATGAGTATATAAGTGTGTATGTAAGCAAATTAATTATAGATGATATTAATTTATAAAATCATACAAGACAGATTTAAAAAAAAGTATACACTTTGGAATACTTTCCATAAAAATCTGATGAACAAATATGTAAGAGTACAGCACAATGAGATCAAAGTGCTTGGCATTGTGATTTGTGTCGCTTGTATAATTTAGCATTGTTTGGAACTTGAATTAAGAAGAATGTAATATTCATTCTTATATGTGTGTAAAATACAAGAACAATTTATCATATTTATAGTTCATTATTTACAATACACATTCTTATATATATCAGCTACATCAGTGTGCAATTAAATTAAAGATATATCTACTAATGCGTATGTATTGTATTATACACATCTTACATTTATTATAATTATATATTCAATACAATTCAATTCACTCTCTTCTGTAAATTATACACAACATTGAATATGTGTTTTAATCACATATACAAACATTATGGCATTATTAAAGTCATCATCTCTTCTTTACAACAACCGACTACATTAAAGAATAAACTTGAAATAACATTCTTTTTAGACTAATAGTTTTTAACAAATAAGTTTGGTTTATACTTAAGCAGATAACATTTAATTTTTGTCGATATATTTATACTTATCCTTTATGTGTAAAAAGTTTTTAATTACTGTCATAAAAAAAATAAGAATGTGTCTCCAGAATACAAAATTTGTATGTAATTAAAGAGTCAAACTTAATGTTTATTATGTCAATATCATCTTATTATTATTATATTATATATTTATTATGTCAATGCAGTTGTCCTTTTGGTAATTATGCAGAATAGAGACAATATTACCCATTTCAATGGGCTTGAAATGTTATTAAAGTCACAATCCTGATTAATTTTTAATAGGTTCCAACTATTGTTCTATTATGCAATCATATAATTAAGAGATTTGTTTTGTGGCTATGATTAAGTTTGACTTTTTAATTCATAAAGTTTATATATTTTTATGTGTTGTAAAAGTCAGGATCAAAGGATTTCAAGTTACTCATTCCTACTATCCATTTCAGTTATGACACTTTCCTCAAGGGTAAAGTCATAATCATAGTTTTGATTTTCTAATCTCTCAATGAAAGACAATATTTCACTGATCCTCAATCCATCTATATCTAAGTCGTTGTTCACATTACTTTGCAATTCCTTGCATAATTTGAATGGCACGCCGCTCAAATAATTAGGAACATCCACTTGTTGACTCAATTGTGGCAAGTTACCGGTTGACATGGCAGGATATGTAGGTGTACCACCTATGAATGGATATAATCCAGAATGCGATGTACCTTCTCCGCTGACATTAGGTGGTAACGAAGTTCTTCTTTTTTCAATTACTACAAAGTCATCAGATTGATCTCCAGAAGGATGTTCCTCTTCTGTAGAATCTGGAGGTGAATCCTTATGTTTCTTTTTACCAAAGAGCCAGGACATCTTCTGCAAAAGATGTTAATCTAATAAATTGTCAAAACTCTACCTTATATATTGTCACGTTAATTCTAGGAATCATACAAAGCAACCAAGTTTTTATCTTTGGTGTCAGGTCAAATCTTTTGAACAAGATATTGTTTGAATAATATAATTGTAAAGCTTCTTATCTATTTAACAATTAGCTTGGACTGCTATGTTATCGTGCATGATGATAGGAAATTACAAACTTACGATCAAACATGTAGTATCGCAGAAAAGAAAACACAATGTTTACTCACATGCAAACAGTTAAGAACTAAACAAAGGGTCTAACCACAGATTCAACGAACAGATTGTACTAAGGCCTAACCATGCTGCCCGCTTTGTATTATTTCTTCGGGATGACGAAAAAATTCGCATTCCCACAGTAACAGACAAGATAATAGTTGATTCGTTCCGTTCAACTGAACTTTCTACACTGCGGTGCAATAATACACACCAAACGTTCCAAGCAAAATATGACGTCACAGTAACTGTTCTTTTTCGAAGAACAGCGATATTTGATATAACAATTTACTTTTTTCTCCTCCATGAAACAGAGGAATAAATTTTTATTATTTATTTACCTCTTTTGCCAAATAACGAGGATAATTTGCCTTACTATATTTCTATATATGTACTTTCTATATTTGTACTTAAACCTTAAATCGATATTAGGGGCGGTATTCATACAATAATCAATGTACAATTTCGTTACGAAAGAATAATTAGATACCGTAAGAAAAATTATAACATTAACTTAGTTAAAAACTAGAGATCTTCAACTTTAAAATCTTTTTTAAATCATCTTGTTATCGTTATTTTTACAGAAGCAGCTTGTTGAGTTCGTCTATCGTTTTGATGATAGAGCAAAGGTTACGTTGACCTGCCGTTGAATAGAATCACTTAGAAAGTAAGAGTGGTCGATTCCATTGTTGAGTTGTACCACTCAGGTCTCTTCAGTTAGGAAAATGGCGACTCGTAACGGAGACTTTGGAACTAAATTTGATCAGAAGTAACAAAGGGTCTGTTTGAATTTGCTCACTTTACGCATTAATATTTCACGTGGCATTAGTCACGCAATTACAAAACTGTCGAGTGAAAATGTGAGGTAACCAGGTATTTCCGGTATAGTGATCTCACATTTTTACGAAGCGCTGTGTTAGATTGGACGTTTTCGTGTAAACGCAGCCAATTCGCCAATAGCATCAGTAAAGATTAAGATTCCAACAAATTTGTCAATAAAGAGAAATTACACATTATCTAGGAAACACAGGTTGTTAACAATTGCTTATAGTGATGATTAATACTTTGAGTTAGTTATTGAGAACAAAAATAAAATAAACATAAAATGAAAATTACCGAGCATCACAGAAAAGAATATTGTTAAATTGTTATTAATATCAATATTGATATTGATATTAATTATTGTTATTAAATTAAATTATCCATTTTGTGGAAACGGTTTCTCTTCGTCATTGTTCTTTGGTCAGTTTTTTTTTTCAGCTGCTAGTATAATAAATTAGAGTAAAATAAATATTTTATTGCGTTATGTTATCTTTTCACGTTTCACAGTTCTAGAAAACTCGTCAGGACAGACTTGACAAATTATAAGAAAGAAATTTTATTTTCAAATAATATCTCGCAACAGCGTGTGACACGACACATACGCATAAATTATAATAATTATATTTCGATTCTGGTTAAAATTAATCTGGTTAAATCATATGTGATTACTCGCGCATACATACTATTTTTTAACACAGAAATATACAATAAATATACAATAAAATATACAATAAAATGTGCGCAACCATAATATTTATAGGCAGGTTGGAATGTGCGTGTATATGATAATGAATCGTTAATTATTAGAACGCCTCGCTATTTAAATATCTCGTTAAATATCACTTTTAGTATAATGACAATAGCGTACATCTAGACAACAGCAATATGAGCAATAATTTGCCGTTACGTAAAATTGTTTCTTCAATAAAATATGAAGCACAAGAATGACCGCCATAATGCGCATATCGAGAATCGCAATTGTTGCGATGTTCAGTCTTTTTTGGAGACGAACGGCGACGCTGCAATTTGCCTCGTGAAGCCGCTCCGTATTTTTCCGGTGATTTCGAGGTCGCCGAGGTGATTTACGATCGCCAGAAATGCCGAAAGTGAGCACCGTATGCTCGTCGTGACAAAATATTGCTGAACAATTGCGACACGTGAATATTTCACGGCACGAGCTCTTGAAAACGCCGAGCAAAGTATCTCACGCCCGTCACGTTATGGCGGCACGGACTTGACGACTTTCGCAATTTCACGCTCGCCGAAGGGGAATCTCGCGTTGGAATCGTCATCGGAAGTATATTGTGCTCAGTAGGTCAGACACGGTCGTGACGGCAAAATATGCTGGGGTAATCGACGAAAATGCGTGTTGCGGAAAATGACGTGGTCGCGTATGACGAGTGAAGTTTCGCGCGTTTGCGGTGCCATCGCGGAGTTTCGAGAATCGCGATCGTCAGTATAATGGCACAACGGCAGTTCGGTTTCGTCAAGTCACTCCGTGCTCTGTTCGCGGTTTTCATTCGCCGAAAATGAGTTTCAGAATATCGCCGGGAGCGCCGACGATGAATCGCGCGCGTGTGTGATGATAAAAGTGTCATCGACCGCGGAAAATTTCCTGCTCGGCCGAAACGACCGAAACGACGGATGCGCCGGCAGCAAGTTGCTGAGCGATCGTCGTTCGTTACAATCGTTGCTTGAGGATCGTCGAATCGTTCGCTGCCGATCGCCGCTGGAGAAATCGGTGAGTCGGCCGTCACAATAAAGTCAATATAAGCGCTACACCGTTCATTCCGTCGAATTGTAGGTGCCCTTCGCCTCAAATTTAACCTCAACGCAAAGCGATTTTGGGAAATCGAAAGGGGAGAGGGGGGGTGTAAAGACAAAGTAGAAACAACGTCAATCAGATGTGAGAAACATTGTTGCATTGTGAGATTTCGGATGAGTATCGGGAGAGGAATAATCGCGTCTCTTGCATTTAGACGTGTCGGTAAGTTTGCGCAAGACGTGCGGTTTTAAATTTTCCCTGTTGTATCATTCGTGCAAAGCTCATCTGCGCCAACTCTAGCGTGTTTCCGCTAGAGGACGACACTATATCGAATCACCAGTGTTCGCCTCGTCACGAACTTATAAATTGATAGTGTTTTGTGATTGGATGTGGTTCCTGTAACTACGCATATTTTTTGATCGTGGGGACTGCGTACGTATTGTCCCGGTTTTTCTTTTGCCTTCATAGTACTGGAAAATAGCCTTGCAGAATTTAATCTATCTACACCGTGAGAGTGACGTTGGAGCAGTACCCTATTTTGCCCCCCCTATTTTGCCATTTATTGAATTGAATTGACAGTGTTTTGTCGTCAGGCAGTGCCAAATACTACAGCAATACTAATCGTTATATACGTATGTTAATATTTATATATTAATATCCCGAAAAATATCGAAGTTTGACATGTATCAATAACATCATTTTTGTTGCATGTGCACAATTGCAAATATATCGATATAGATTCACATATATTTATAAAACTTTGGCAGATATTCATCGTCGGGTTTTATATTTAAAGCCGTCTTAAGTTCACTTTCAGACACTTTGTAGCTAATTTAATGATGTATATATATGTATATATATATGAATATGGTCCTAATGGAAGATGTACAAACGTCCGACATGGCGTACGATATCCAATAGAAAAACAACTTTCTCATAGAGAATTCAATTCTCCTGTTTTCCTATTGGATGCCGTATTCGGATGCTGTATGAATCCTTCATAAGAGTAATCAGACAACAGTTTAATAGGTCGCTTGCTTTGTGTATCGCCACTAACGCCGCCTGGCGGCAGAGTGGTGTAAACTGACCCTGTTACTATATATATATATATAAATTTTGCGAAGAGGAAGACGACGACGACGATTATATATTTGAATGACACAATTTGGCGAAAAAATATATGTATAAAACATGTATAAATTCATATTTCTGGATCTAGTGAGCGTATCAGCTCTCTAATCTCGTTTTAATCGGAAAAAATCACGCTTTTCTATGACGTATTTTCTATACATCCCGTACAGCACAAAAGTTGCAGCAATTTTGCCGCAACGTTACAACAATGTTGCCGCAACGTTGCAATAATGTTGCCGCAACGTTACAGCAACGTTGCTGCAACTTCTGTGCCGCATGGCTATCTTTTACGATAAATTTAATATTCTTACAGTTTTTAAGCAAATTACGATTTATTTAAAAACTACAACGAAAAACGTGTTCTCCGTGTAAAAGATACACACGATAGCGTCTTTTACACTTGGCGCGACACGCTATCGTGTCTCCTGATGATTCCGCAATTAGCAGACACAGAGCCGTAACTCACCAGAAAACGCCGTTCGCTGTCGACCGTCTTCGGTTATCCCACGCGAATTTGCCGACGAACAATTTTATCAGTCCTCTTTTTGGTAAATATATAGAAAAGAGTACACCTCACCGATTTTTTTCATTTTTTTCATTTTGAAATATGTTATAAAGGATGAAATTCTGAGTGACTTTTCCTAATACAGTTATATGGGGGTCGCTTATAGTTTCCGAGATATTTAATTTTAAAGTTTCGGAATTTTGATTATCCTGGAATTAAATTCCAGATATCATAAGCTGACGTTATTTACAGTACAATCCAAACAGTTTCAAAACAATCCAAACATAGTATATACATAGAAATATAGGAAGAAATGGAGGGAAAGGGGCTCCGCCTCTCTGCATAAAGATGCGACAAGTTAGGTTAGGTTAGGTTAGGTTAGGATTTGTTTGAGGAGGGGATGGAGCCCCTCTCCCGCTTATATGTACTGTTTCCTATATTTAAAATGAATAAAAACTGCTTGTGTACTTCAAATATACTTCAACGTACAATTATTAAACTTTAAAGTCAAATATATCAGAAACTATAAGCGACCCCCGTATAATTGTATTAGGAAAAGTCACTCAGAATTTCATCTTTTATAACATATTTCAAAATGAAAAAAATCGGTGAGGTGTACCCTTTTCTATATATTTGCCCTCTTGTTACCAAGCTGCAGTTAACTAACCATTTTAGTAAACCTGCAACTGAAGTTGCTGCTTTGTTCCTCATTCTCTGTTTCTTCTCACAGCGATTTCAATTGGAATCTTGCGAGGTTGTCGAAACGGTTAGATTACCTGCAGTTTGGTAAAAGTGCGACTTTGCGTGTCGCGATATACGAGAATCCTGGAAAATCGCGCGCGCGAATTTTTCTTTCTCGTCGTTCCGCTTCGACCGCAGAGCGTCGATTCTACTTCCGATCGCGGCGGTTCCTGGAAAAGCGCGAAAAAATTACGCGGTAGCGCGCCGCACGATGCGCGACAACCACCGACACCGACGCGGCCA